ATAAAATTCACCTGTTTTAAGGGTACGATTCAATGACTTTTAGTAAATGTATCGAGTTCTGCAACCATCACACAATCCAAGTTTAAAACATTTCCACTACCCCATAAAGTTCGCTCATGGCAATTTGTAGTCAATCCTTAGCCTATCCCCCAGCCCCGCGGAACCATTAGCTCCCTTTATTTTTAGATTTCCTTTTTCTGGGAAGTTCATATAGATGGAAGCACATATTATGTGTCTTTTGCATCTGGCTCCTCTTACTGAGAATGCTATTTCTGAGGTTCATTCATGCTGTAGCAGGAATCAGTATCTCATTCCTTTTTATTGCTAAATAGTGCTCCGTCATATGAATCTTACCACATTTTACTTACCTGTCCAGCTATCAATGGGCATCTGGATTTTGGGCTATTATGAAAAATGCTGCCACGGGTATTCGCATGCTCGTCTTTGTGTGGACATACGTGTTTATTTCTAGGTAGATACCTAGGAGGGAAACCATTGGGTCATATGTTAACATGATGGTTAACTCTTCAAGAAATTATCTTACAGTGTTTTCAAAGGACCATGTTCTATTCCCATCAGCACGTATAAAGGTTCCAGTTGTCCCACAATCTTGCTAGCACTTGTTACTTTGTAGTCAACCCAGTGGGTATGCTTTGATGTCTCATTTTTTATTTTTTATTTGCTTTTTCCCTAATTAATAATGTTAAGCATCTTTCCATGTGCTAATACCCTTTACATGTCTTTCGGAGAAATTTCTATTAAAAGTATTTGCCTATTTTTTCACTGGGTTGTTAGTCTAGTTATTGAGTTGTAAGAATTATTTACATACCTGTAAACAAGTTGTTCATTAGAAATATGATTGGCTAATATTTTCTCTCAGGCTGGGGCTAGTCTTTTATTTTCTTTATGGTGTCCTTTGAGGCGAAGAAGATTTAAATTTTGTTAATTTCCAATTTATCAATGTATGCTTTCATGGATCATGCTTTTGGTGGTGTGGCTACCTTGTTGTCTAACCTAAAGTCACAACGATTTTGTCCTATATATTCTTTGAAAGCTCTTATCATTTTCACTCTTACACAGGATGCTAATAAGTGAAAGCAAGGGACACTTGATTACAAATCAAGAATTTCAAAACTGTGCAATCAGCATTAGAGCAAACACGGGGCCTTGTGTGACCACGTGGACGCATGCCAGTGCACTGGCCCTGCTCTCACAGGGCTGCAGTCTATTTTGAGTTGATTTTGGTATTTGCTGTGAAGTATAGGTGTACATTAATATTTTTACATGTGGATATCCAAATATCTTATCACCACTTGTTGAAAGACTATCTTTTCCCTAGTGAATTGACTTGGCACTTTTATTAAACATCCATAGACCAATAACATAACAGTTTATTTCTTCACTCTCAATTCTGTTCCATTGATTCATATATCTATTTTTATGCCAGTATTATACTATATCAATTACTGTGGCTTTATAGTAAGTGTTGAAATCAGAAAGTATAAGACTTGCATTCCATTTGTTAAATTTATTCCTAAATATTATATTATTTTTTCTACCTTTATTTTTTAATTAGAAAATCAACTTTTAAATTTCCCGATTAATGGCTTTATAGAAATAATATTATAAGCTACAGGGGTACAACATATATTTATTCTAAAGTGTTGTTACTTTGGCCCTATTATTTCTATTTCCTCTGATGTTACCAAACACGATACAAGGATAGGAGGGGACCTGGGTGAAATCCTGACTCTTCTCTAAGCCAATGTTAGCAGCCTGGGTGCAGCATTCAACCCCTTTCCCAACATTTGTTCCAAACTTTACACACAAATAAAAGACTTCTATTACTTTGATTTGTATAGAATAGAATCATAACATATTAATATGAAATTAATGTGTTTCATTCATCAGTAAAACTATGCCCTTCCATTTAAATACTAGAAGTAAATAACTATGTATCCAGCAGAATGGATTTACCATAATTTACTCAACCATTTAGCTTAATGAACCACCAGACTGTTTTCAGGTTTGGGAGATCAGTGTTATGTAGTTATTGTTATATTTTGCTATTAAAAAAAACAATTCTTCAATAAAAACTTTTGTACTTATGGGCATCTAACCAATAAATATTAATTATCACCTTGTGTGTAACAGGTACTCAAAAAAAAAAAAAATCAAGGGACAAAACAGACACAATCCCTGTGCATATAGCTTATATATTTTTGAGAGAAGATATATAAGTAATTAATTTAGTATATTAGGGAGTAGCAAAAATAGAGCTAGATTAGGGGCTTGGGAGCATAAGGGTAGGGTGGAGTTTAATATTGTTAAGATGTCAATTCTCACCAAATTTATCTATAGTTTCAAAATGCAAAACTTTATAAAAGTTTTGGAGCTTTTCTTGTAAAAAGTGACAAACTGATTTTAAGAGAGAGAGTGCCAGGTGGATACTGGAAATATCTGGGGGAACACTTTGTAAAGTATATGATAGTCTTACCACTATGATGTACACCTGAAACCAATACAAAATAATATTCTCTTGAAAAACAGTGCTCTCAATAAACACCTGTTGAATGAAAAAAATAAATAAATAAATAAAAATAATAATTAAAGAGATGTGGAAAACCAAAAGACTTTGAAAAACCCAAAATAATCTTTCCCCAATTGATTTCAAGGCTTTCTATAACCTATAGTATCTAAGCCAATGTGCTATTGGCATACAGATAGACAAACAGATCAATGGCACAGAAGAGAAATCCCATAAATATACTGATGCTTATATGCAAATGGCTACTTTGGGTAGGCAAAGATTTCTTAGTGCACTAACGGTATTAACTGCAAAAGAAATAGATTTGGCTTCATCAGAAAAATTTCTTCTCGCCTGGCCAGGCGTGGCTCAGTGGTTGAGTGTTGACCTGGGATCCGGGTGATCAGGGTTCAATTCCCTGACAGGGCACATGCCCGGGTTGCGGGCTCGATCGATGACTCTCTCGTCGTTGATGTTTCTGTCTCTCTCTCTCCCTCCCCTTTCCTCTCTCTGAAATCAATAAAGACATCTTTAAAAAAAAAAAAAAAAATTCTTCTCATCAAAAGACATAGTTAAGAAAATGAAAGGCAAACTGGGAGGAAATGTTTCCAATACTTAAATCAAACAAAACACTTCTTTCCACCATAGATAACAAACCCCTACACATGACTACGTAGTAACAGACAATGCAATAATCTAAATGGGCCAAAGACTTGAACAGACGCTTCACCGAAGACGATACATGAATTGCCAAGGAGCGTATGAAGATGCGATCAGTGTAATCGGTCGTTAAAGAAGTACACACTGACGCTGTCTGCGAGGCGCACCGCACCTTAGAAAGGCCGCAGCAAGGAAGGCTGCGTCTAACGGGCCCTGAGGCCGATTTGGCAGATACTGTAACAGTCAAACGTGTTCCCGCACAACGCCCAGCACTCCAGCCTTAGCTTTCCCCAAGAAAAATGAAGACACCCCCCATAAAAGGCAGCAGCAGCTTTATTGACGCTAGTCCCAAACTGCAATCAACCCAAATGTTCATCGGCGGGAAAATGAATAAGCGGATTGTGGTGGAAACCCCCGGGGGGCCCCCGCACGGTGGAAAGCGACAGCTGGTGACCGTCACCGCATGGGTGACGAGCAGAAGTGAGCCGCTAGGCCTGGGTGACTGCCACTCCAGCGTGACCCCGGAGCAGCGGCAGTGTGTGCCTCGGGCCTGCCCGGCCCCAGGCGTCGGCCTGCGGGTTGCGGGGCACAGGGTGCGCTTGCTCCGCTCTGCATTTGCCAAGTGGCACGTCAGTGGTAAGCAGGGTGCTCCCTGCCCACCTGCCCGCCTTCGAGGTGTCACAGGGCGCGTAGCTGCTCCCTGACCACTGAGCATCCCCCCACACCAGCAGTTACTGTCCTCTCACCACGTTTTGGCCTACAGATTTTGGTTGAAATCTTTCATCTACTCATTTTCTCCGCCATTCCCTCTGTCCCTGTGGACCCAGCCCCTTTATTGTCATCTTAGTGGGATTCTCAATGAAAGAGAAGACAAATGCTTGTCTTCAATCTCCCATCCTTAACCAGAAACGTTTGCCCGCAGGAATTTGATACAATAATGTGACGTTATTATTTCCTGATGCGTATGTGTGTATTAGGTACTGGAAAGTGCCAATAATTCTTCTCTGGTTTGACACACACACAAAATGTTATGAGTCTTCATAACATTTAGGAATACAAGATGTTGATTAAAATATTATTATCATAGTAATAAAATAATTAACTAATAACCAGAGTTACAGACTCAGGTTTACAATTACTTTCACCAGAAACAATAGTGATTTCTGAAGTTCAGAAAAGGATTCACCATATATAACAAAGTAGAGAAAGAATTATATTAACACAAAGCAGGAGTCCCAGAAGAAATGAGGATATTCTTGTGACATACTCAATTTATACTACATCATATCATTATCAAACCACATCTTTTCACTTATGAACTAGTTTTATAATGCGGAGTGGTATTTCTCCTAGCTGCCATTGGTCAGAGAGGGGACACCTTGTTTTTATCTCTGAGATTTATTTTCCGTTAGTTGTTAATTAAGATGCATGTTCAAGGTTAGATTCTATTGTTATTCCATTCTTTTTTACTTCTGTAGATGACCTGTTTACTCCATCTCAATTTTGTACAAATTTTAAAAATGTTAATTAAAAAAATTCCAGATATGTGATGATATCTTTACAATGGCTTTGACCAGGACAGACTGGACTGGACTGCTCAGCTCTGTGTTTAAGCCTTTCTTAACCTCCACACTGTCTTCCTTTAAACCTTCGTTTATTGCTTTAATTCCATTTACTTTCTTCTCTACTCAGGACCAATTACTTTACGTATGTTGGTTCTTCACAGCCTATCCTTCATTTATAAAATCTTACAGCCTCCACAAGCATCTTCGAATCTTGGTGACCATTGTCACATGATATCCTTTCTCCCTAGGATGCCTGCAGACCAGAGCATAGATGACACGTTTATCCGTGACATTTTATTAAATCACTTCAGAAGACATAAGGTCGAGATTTCAAAAGCAATAAAAAAGGAATTTCCTTTCCTTGAGGTTCTTCGTGACCGTGACTTCATCACCAATAGAATGTATGAAGTAAGTGAAGTTTATTATGTTACAGTCACTTAGTAGCCATACAAATACGTAGATATTCTAAAACTTTACATGTGAAAGTACCTGTGAAGGAAAATTGTAACACATTAACAACAAAATCACTTCCTAGGGCTCTCCTGTAACTTGGAAGTCTGTGTTTATATTTTCTCCATTTATTGTTTTTTAAGGATTGTCAAGAATCTTGTAGAAACCTGGTCCCTGTGCAGAGAGTAGTGTACAATGTTCTCAGTCAACTGGAGAAGACATTTCAGCTGCCACTTCTGGACGCATTGTTCAGCGAGGCCAACAAACAGGAATACCCTGACTTAAATAACATTTATAAAGGCTTTGAAAATGGTAATTAGATTTATTACCTACCTCTTGATGACCTTTTTTTTGACAAGTATATATTTAGCTCCTACCATGTGCCACACACGGTGCTGGGCAGTGGGGATGTAGCGGTTAAGAAAGCAGATGTATCATGATCCTCCTCAAGGCCTATGGTATAATAGCTACTGTACAAACCTGACTTGCATTCTGCTTAACTAGGCATTTAGAGTCACAAGACAACCAGAGCCACAGTGGCATCAGATTTACTTAGAAGGACAAATGACAGGAAACACAACATCCAAACAGGGCAGCATCAGTTTGGGCTCTTCTGTGGGACCCCTTGCAGCTGTCCACACAGCAGTCCACCAAGTTGACTACTACCTACTTCAAGTAACAGCTTAGCTGTAAGCTCCACCCTGATTTAGCCACACCATGCCCATGGGAATTAATGTCCCATGTAACAATTCTGTAGTCATAACTTTCAAGAATCTCACAAAGGTCAGGTGAGTTACAAGAGTCAACAGATTGAAAGAAGATCATAAATGGCTTATAGTTCATATATAGTCCCTCCTAGTACGCACACAATTTATCTACCTACAGTCACAGGTCATTTTTGCCCCTAAGCTCAGTGTTGGCCTACTCACACAGAAGAGAGGCCACCTTTATCAGGTATCCAGAGTAATGAGCAAGAAAATTAACCCAAAGTCAAATTTGCTTAAAGAACGAGAAATGGTTTTATTAATTTCTCAACAAGGAGTGAAACACACATTAATTATAGAATCACAAAACCTAGTGCTCTGCCAGGGACTACTTCTGATGCTATATAAAAGTACAGGTATGACTCTCAAATTTATTCTGAGAAGGCATAATTTATACTTTCTAATGGTACCCAGTTAAGAGAATGCTCTACTGTATCTAGATAGATGATAGATGATAGATAGATGACAGATAGATAGATAGATAGATAGATAGATAGATAGATAGATA